ATCTGCACAAAAAAGATAATATATATACATTTATCTTCCGAAATAATTTTTTTTTTTTTTTTTTATAGAAGTTAGGAAGGGGGAAGATTCAATCCGTATATATAAATTAGTCCGAAAAGTTTGTCACTTTTTAAAATTGTTAATTAAATGAGATTCCCATTATCATTTAATGAGTAATAATACAAAATAAACAGTATAGAGAGAATTGCGTGAACGAAGCAAGAATTATGCGAAACATACGCGAGACATACGAGGATTGAGGGAAACGTAATGAGCGAGCGAGTAAAACGAGGTTTATCTTACGTCTTCGGCTCTCGTAATTATCCATTATGCAATAACGCAGTAATGCTACGCTTCTTGTTCTTAACGCCTCCTTTATTCTTGGGTAGACCAGCCACTAAAATTCCCAGGGTCCTGCGTCGCGTTTCGTATATGTGAAACGTTGAGAGACGTGTACACATCCTATTATTTAAATTAATTACATCTATCCGAATTTTTAATTAAAGGCATCCCCGAACGACAAAGCGAACTTTGAATATACGTGTATGTTACGTGTTAAATTCTGCTCACTCAGTGTTATGGTCACACGTATTTTGTAAAATGGTGCAGATTTAAAAAAATATAATTATGTATTAAGTGATATAAGAATTTTTAAATTAATTAAATATTAAAAAATAAGTTTCAAATATTTATTATTAATATAAACAACTTTTGCAATTGTGGTAAATAAGCAGCATTTAAAATTAAAATATAAACGTTATTTTTATAATAGGATTGAGATACCATTGCAGACTGTATAAGTTTTATAATAAAAAAAACAAGTTAATTTCCGATTTCAATATTAACTTTTTTATTAAATAGCACATAAAAGTCGAAAGAGGTATTCTTAATTTCAGTATTTTAATTATATCTATGTAATTATATTATGATAATTAAAATTTACACATATGTATATTTCAGAAGTACAATAAGTAAAATAAAAATTTTGTTGTCTTCTTTAGTTTTCCTCGTCAAAACTTCTTTTCGTCATAATTTACACCGCCCACACGTTTCACACTCATTTTGTGTCCCATCGGACACGCGGGAGCACACAAAACGTGAAATTCCACGTTGCGGAATTTGGAAAAGGAGAGAGAGAGAGGGGGAGATCGAGCGTTGTCGGAACCTCATTCGCGTGCGGGATTAAAATTCGAGTCCCACGGTACACGGTAGTCTTGCGTTCTCAGACACGACTGCTTGGATCCTTTCACGTAAGGACGAGAGACGTTTAAGCGCTTCGCGGAACCCTTTTTTCGTCCCTCCTCCCCGAACGTCACGCATGTGTGTATAACACGGCCGCGGGTGAATGATGACGCGCACACCGTCGAATCTTTCGTGAAGTTATCTATGGGAAAAGCATCTTTGGCCTTCGAGATTGCCTCTCAAGAATCGACAGCTACTGTAGTAAATGATAGACGTCTCGAAATGTAAAGTCTCGTGAATATAACGTTTTTTTTGTTCTTTTTTTCCTTCAATTCCGAGATCATATCTCGACGTTTATACAAAGAACATGACAAAAGATTACTGGTAAGAATTATAGCATAATTTCGATAAATTTAAATTTCCATTGCAATCAGTATGCAAAGAGAATTACAGAAAAGCGTCAATCTATTTATTAAACAAAAAGATATTTTTTTTTAGTTCGATGAATGACTAGAAGCTGGTCATTTAAACAAAATTATGATTATTTGATATTGACTGGTCGAATCTTGCATTTTACATATGTGCTCAATCAAGCGTGCAGTTATTCGACGGTAATTGACATAACTTTCAATAAAGCGTAATATCGTTGTGACACAAGATTTTGTTGCATTTGTTGTTTGGCCGCGCGATGATCGATGGGAGAAGATGAACGCGTGCAAAGGACGACGTAACAAATTCCCGCGTACCTGGTATCACAATGCGCGTAAAAATTCTTAAATTGCATACATCGTACGATCGAAGACGAGCCCATTATCGCGGGAAGCAACCGGGGAGAAAACGTCGTCGCGCACTTGTGGACACATGAGAAACGGTGTGACATTACTCGTGCATCATCAAACGATAATCTCTATGCGATCTACAAGAGAAATAATATACGGTACGGAGACGTCACAGCTGTCGCTGTCGCGTTGAGATTTGATTACTGTCGTTCGAGAGTAAAAATCGGAAAATTATACTTTACAACGTAACGGTACGTCGATTCGTTATTCATTGTCTTTCTATCCATATGGTTTCAATTATCTTCATGTTTGGATACTGCCGTCCACTTTCTCCACAAACGTCGTTTAGCATCTTTGCGAAAATTGAATTTTTTAACGCGCATATGCGTGTATCTTCCTGAACTGAATTAATTTTTTATATTATATTTCTCGTTAATATTCAGCAGAAAGCGAATAAATTTTTTAACCGATGCGTTATTAATTTATATTTAATAAAAAAATGTCTTCTTATGCCATTAATAAATATCTTATATATATTTATTACTATATTCCGCGCTTTTTCTAAGATATTTCGATTAATTTGGACCAAATATATCTTTTCTTTTCTTATTCACCGAATAAATACAATATAGATTCAAATTTTATAATATTTTATGCAGTAATAGTCGTCTCTCCATCTTATTATATATGTATATATACATGTATCTATTTATATATATATATA